AGTTACATGGTCAGTGGTTGGGATGATGCCAAGTCTGTACTGCAGTTAAAAAGAGAATTATTGACTACAGGGTCGGTGGATAGAAGAGGAAAAAACTCAGTTTTCATGTAGATAATATAGAATTATCTTCTCAGCCTATATAATACAGTAGTCTACACTGTTCCATTGGTCTTGCAGATTAAGCAGATGTTGGATGATTGTGCTTCATGTAATCTCTGGTTCACACACAAGTGTAACTGCATTGACTGCTTGACACAAACTACTGAAGAGAAGCCGAAAGATCAGATCCTACAAAACTGACAAAGTGAGCTCAGGATTATAACATTTATGTTGAATTTATTCAAGTGCTTCGACTGAAAATGGTGTCTGTAAAATTAAAGAATTCCTAAGGTGACTGGAAGACCTAAAGGGTTGAATAGAACCCAGAGGATTTGCAGCTTTTTGTTTGAATGTAGGGGCTTAATGAAACATAGGGGAAAGTATTTGCCCAAGTATTATTTAAATAGGCAGCCTTTTTGGATTTTGTTTATTTAACTGCAAACACATATGCAAAAGTTTGTAGCAAATTAGGTGCCTGTTTTGAAGAGAGCCTTTCTTTTGTTTGAATAATGTTCCTCATGCCTCAGTCATGCCGTGTGCCATCATATTGTTTTTATTGTGGGTTCTGTTTGTTCTACATACCATGTATCACATAAATACATTTAAAATTTGGGGCTTTATTATGCTGCAATAGCATTAAGTCAGAATAAAGCACAAGGAATGTAACACAAATCATATTGTTAGTGCTACTTTAAAATATAATTTGTAATTTGTTTTGTGTCTGCAAACATGCACACAAAATAACGTGGATTTGCTTTCTGGTCAACACGGTGCACTGACAAATACTTACACAGGCTTTGTGGTTTGAAACCGGCTGTAAATACCCAGTTAATATACAAACACAGCTGAGGTTATATAGTTAATCAGAGGCTTGTTGCCTCATGATGGCACCTGCTGCTGTGTGGACAATATTAACATGGCCTTGTCTTCAAGGAAGCATTTAAAAATCAAGTAGAGTTTTCATAAAGATTTAGCTGAGAGATTTTGAGCTTGATGCAGAACATCAGTTCTGCTGGATTACTTTTAAGATATACCATTGGTTATTAAAAGATGAATTGATGTAAAGTGCTGTTAGATGCTTTGTTTCTGTTTCAGAGATGATTTGAAATACGTTATGGAATGAATTTTCCTGATACAGCCTCTGCTTTCGGTCACTGAAGTGGAAAATGATTAGATTTTCCCCTCCGATTGCTATAAATCCATAAAGCTTTTGTGATCAAGGATAGAATCATGGGAACATCTCTGCAATTTTGATTTTAATCTTTAATCTCACCTCAAAGTGGAGCCTTGGTAACGCAGTCTTTGTCCAACCCAAGTTTTCCTAATTATCAGTATTCTTTGCCAGTTTGTCACGTCAGTTCCTGTGTCATCTTAATCTTGTCATTCTAGTCTGGTTCCTGTGTTACCGTCTGTGGAGCAGAAATGTGTCAACTGTAGATGTGTACATGTGCGCCTTTGTGTGTTGGTGTATGTGTGAGATTGTGTGTCTGAGAACAGTATAGCCTGAGGACACAGTGGAATCTGTTGTTTTGCTGCCTGATAAAAGCAGAGCTATTTTGAGGAAATGGTGTGGTGTTTCTCCCCCAGCTTCAGTGCTTCCACTTTGTCCAAGCAGTTAAATATTTCACACAGCAAACCTCACATGTAGCCACATACAAAAAACAACAATTTGAACATGTTATTGTGGACCAGAGGAAATTGTGGTAGTGGTTTCAGAGCGGTAGGAGATAATAATGGTTTCAGCAATTTAAACCTGCAATGAGGAACTTTTGCTTCCACCTTCAGGCAGTGAGTGTAACTACAAAAACACTGTCTAAATATGGCTTTAAGTTAATCGCTTTCTGTTTCAGACTGTAATCCATCCCTAATTGCTGAATTTACTCCTTATTTGGAGCATTACAAACTTTTCCAGGATGGTTTCTATTTTTTTTCCCACCATATCCTCCACCATATTCCCGGCTCCTGGATCCTACTCCATCTCTGTCACACCCTCGCCTCCTCAGCTCTGGAAAATCAATCATCGCTGGTTCACGTAAAATGCATCGCTACCTGTGCGCCAGCACGGAAATGTCGCCACAGACACCAGATTTAAAACTCCAGTGTGCTGTGAAATGCTCAGTGCTGATGGGCATTGCGTGAACTAGTTTGGCAAGAGCTTGAATATAACGGATGCTCATTTATATATAACAGTCCTGCTCTCTAGCTTTAACTTTCATGTTGATCATAAAATGATTATGATAAATATGCAACGCTAACACAGTATGGTCATGGATCAGAGCAGGTGACACCATCCGTCATCCTAAAAGTTATAACATTCTTTTCCTCTGCCTGAGGTAACTCTTAATGTTAGTGCTTCTGATTCTACTGCAGACTTAATAAATTCTTATCGTGTACAATATATTTTACACCTATGACAGTCATGTATTTAAAGGTCACGTTGATAGATAATGAGAGGCTTTGAAATATGCAAATACAAACAAGATTTGCATCATATTTGATCAAAGATAAGTAGGTTGGATTCTGAGAGCATAGAGTAGCAGTGTTCTCCCTGAGGATGTTTTGCATTTTGTGAAGGGAAAAAAAATATCACAAATGTCTTTTTTCACGTTTGTAACGTTTTAATGTGTGATGTTGGTGGTTGTCAGTGCAAACACTGTCTAAAAATTGACAGTATTTAGTTACGTCCTTCCTATCATGTTCAAAGCGCATATTGCATCAATTGTGTATGAGTAATAAATTATTCAGTTGGGACCAATGACATGTCAACTTGCTCTAAAGGACGAGGATACCAGTGCAAACATTTGCAGAAACCAGAATAAATGCATCTGACTTCACAGCTTGCAGAAACATTGTGTCTACAGCAGAGGCATGAGCAAAGATAAGAGGGAGTGCAGTGAACCTGGTGTTTCAAAAATGATCCTTCGAGTGTCAAACAATCTGTTAGCACTAAGGTACTGGCAAAAGCTGGCTGTGTCCTTCTTTACAAGGATAAGAAGCTTCTTTATGAATAGTAATGCTTGCAGTAGTTTGTTCAGTGGTGTGGTGCATAGCTGGATATGTTATGTAATATTGTTTAGGGTGTCTGTACTTCAGATAAGTACAGATAAGCTGATATTGAGTAGAACAGGGCTCCTCAAAATCTAAACCTCAGTCCACATCCGGACCAAACAGCAGTTCAGACCCATCCCATACCTCGTTTTATGAATACATTATGTTATGAAGTGTAAGGTTTTCTATTTCAAAGGAAGTTTTCTATTGGTCAATAGACTGTGAGCGACGCTGACTTTACAGTGTAGCTGGAGATCAGCCACAGTGATCCCGTTCCCAGATGAATTTGGTTTTAGCATGGCTTATTTCCCGGTTGTTGACATCATTGTAGGGCAACATTAACTGCTGGAGAGAAAGTTGTGGGTTGTTTGCTGACGAATTCAGGCAGTGATGTTGCACCTGGCTATAGGCTCCTAAATCCTGGATACAAAATGTCTCACTTTCTCTAGTATCCAATTTTTGCAATTAATGTAGATGCAGCTGTAAGAAAATGTTTCAGGTTGAAACAAATGGATGAACTATTTGAGTCCTGTCCGCTTCGGTTTCATGCTGCTCCAATCACAAGAGATGTGACATTTACGGTGCAATCACACAATTCAGGGGTCACACTGATGTAGCTGATTGCAGGCAAACGGTGCCATTTCCACCACTCGGCTCAGACGTATTCTTCTTGATGTCTGCAATGTGAATGTTGCCCATAAACTTTGTTAGTTGATTAAAGGTTATTTTGTCATTGTGAATCATTTCTGATCCTTGACCTTGAATGAAAAAAGTGTGTGGCCTTTATAACGACATAAGATTTGAAGACTTAAATTTAACTGAATAGAACGGAGCGTCTAACCGCAGGAATAACTAATTAACTTTGAAAACTATTTTCAGTGTGTCTACATTGTACCAAAATAATCTCCACCTCCCAAAATGTGCATTTTTCATTCGTTCCAGCATCCCCTCCAGCCTTGTACACCCCATAGCTGCAGTAGGAAATGGATCAAGGCATCCTGCAGAGTGTGAATTAATGAAGACCTTTCCCAACAGACTGGCTTTATTCTTAAATGTCAAAGTGTGGATGGGAATAACAGCAGCATCTTAAAATAGGGAAATCATCCCGTGGAAAAAAAAGTGACAGCCAAGCCTCTGTGATACCACAACACATATTAAATCATAGCAAGTAGATAACAAATATCTAAACTTGAACTTCTGCATTATTTTTTTGATGGCATTGATAACCAGATCTCTTCCAAAGATTTCTGGCTGCTGAACTACTGTCTACTATCAATGTCTCTTTCTCTAGTTATATATTCAATTACACATCTGCAACCCTCTTGCTTATTATCAGAAGTCTTATCTTTTGAATAGTCAATGTCATATAGCCCCCTCTAGTGTTATTACTGGATGTGTGCATGCACAGGACAGGATTTAAACTACTATCAAATGGAGCAAGTTGACATTTTCTTTGTGTACTGACAGTTGCTATATATAGTTGACACTTAATTTGCAGTATTTTTGACAGCTGGTGTCAGTCCCAGCAGCAGTACACTCACAGCAGTAAGACAAGAACGCTGACATTTTTGCCCTGCTGTTCCAGACATAATGTACTTCATTAATTGCCATGACTGAACTGTTACTGCAATAGTGTTGATCTAAATTGTGCTTTTTTTTTTTTTTAGTGTACTTCTAGGGGCAAATAAACCAAAGCAGTTCATACAGTGAAATTTGAGAAAAGTGCAGATTCTTGAAGTCATTAACAAGTATTTTTAGACAATAAGAAAAACCTTATCAGCACTTTCTCATTTACATTACAGTTTGTTAGGACACCTTCCTAATTGTCAACCTGATTTTTCTTCACCGTGCAGCAGCCAGCAAAGCAGCCAGCAGAGCAGCCAGCAGAGCAGCCATGAGGATGACAGCACTCGCTTCTTGACTCCATTAATCCGAGAGGAGAGGTGAGTAATGTGTGTTTCTGTATGTTTGCTTCTGTGTGGCTCTTTCTCTTTTTTTCCCAGTTAATTCAATAATAAAACTTGAACTTAGAAACCAAAACAAAGTTCTGGTTTGTTGGAGAGAGAAAAAACACAAATGAAAATCATAAAATTCAATGTAGGCAGTTATTTTACTATAATTGCTGTGCAAAGACAATTCAAGTTAAAACCAGGACACCAGTTTTTATGTTTAGTCCGCTTGGTCACATATAGATTCATCCAAAGGCGGAGAAACAAAAAGTCAATTTCTTTCCTACAATTTCTGATTACAGTGTATAGTATGTCCACTTTTTTGCATGCATTCTCCACTAGAGGGCACCGTCTGTTCTTCCTAGTAGTCATGGTCACATGCAACTTGAGTCAACATACATGATTTGTCCTAGAATACACACATATCATGACAATGGACATACATGGACCATTTGAGGCGTCTACTAACATGTAAATGATGTTTATGATGTAGCAGTCATTACCACGAAAGACTATTGAGGACTGTTGGCAGTCAGCTATACAAACCCATTTTTAGTCTAACGAGGCCCTTTTCCCTTTGTCTTTCTATTTAGCAGCCATGTAAAAGCGGTCATATGTAACTACTTCTACAGTGAGCAGTGTCCCTGCTTCTCAGGAGCTCAGTTTAAGTGGAGAGATGGGCAGTATCATTAGCAGTTCATCACCTTAGGAGATGCTGCAGTTGTCACAGCAGCACTGCTGACAGGCCGAGACATTAAATCAGTAACTGAACCCGGTGTGTAGGTATGTGAATGCGTGCTTATGGAGAATGTGTGTGTCCAGTGGGCTGAGATGTGATATTCCAGTTTTTCCAGCAAATTTTACCATGAAGTAAAGCAGCAGGGCCAGAGGAAATCTCAGGGAGGGAGCTGTTACCTACCCGGTGATGAAAATGTATTAAAAAAGAAAAACGACCTGGTTTATGGAAGTTTGCATTTGCGGCAGAAATTGTATGAACAGCAAGTCACTGAGAAGAGCGATGCAAGTATAAATATAGCACTGATGCAAGAGCATCTTTTTGCTTGTGCTGCAGCCTTATTTTCAGAAAAAGGGAAGCTAAGGCATTGTCTCTGATGCTACCTGTGTTTTGTGTTTGATTTCCAGCAAAGTTTTATGCCATTTAGCAACTGACTTGGCAGAAAGAAAAGAAAGATGTTACTGAGATAAATACACCGCACATATAGTACATGAAGTCAGGTGATTCTGACTAAAAATGTTTGCAAGTTGCTTTGACGGAGCACTGCAAAAACACTAACAGATTGCTGGACTACAAAGTAGTGCACACCAAATCTCAGCCAAATTCAACACCTTTCAGCTTGGCAACGTTTCCTACGAGACAGCTTAGAAATATGCCACATTCCTTCCTCTGCTCTGGCTAATTTCATGCTTTTTGTGATGCAAATTTAGTTCTTTTTTTGCATAACATAACGTAGTCTACTCAGAAACAGAATGCAATCTAGTGAATGTTCCCAGACTTAATAGTCACTGGCTGCACAGAGAAGGAACTGCTGCAGATTTGATCATTTCAGAGAAGTTAAATATATCCAAACATGATGTAAGAGAAAATTCTGAGCAGAAAACTTGTAGGAATCCTCCTCGTCTAGCCTCATAATAACCACCCACTTAGCTGTCTTTGCCTTTAGCTCTGTCTACCAGAGCTGTACACTACACCTCCACTCTTTCTCCCTTCCCTGCACTCTTCTCTATGTTTCTCTTCCTGGCTCTCCCTCCCGCACACTCTTCTCGCTCAGTGTCTCCACGTCCTCGAATTAGGAACAGTACCTGTCAAACCTATGGGATTTTCTGCTGCTCTTCTGTTTGCTGTGTTGGTGATAGCTAGTGAGGGGCGTCTGCAGCAGCTGCAGGGAGAGCAGCGTTCTGTAGCCGGCTTTAGAGGGCACGGAATGTCATGTCTCCTCTGCAGGTAAAAAAAAACAGCTGCATTTCTGCCTGAAGGCTGCACTGCTTCCTCTCCCAAACTCCACCTGTGTCTCCGTCTCCGTCTCCATGTCCGTCAGCCTTGCTTTGCTCGCACTGCGTCTGTCTGTTTGTCCAGTGTGCTGCTTGTGCTGCGTGCAGCTGCATCTTGTTGATTTTTAGCTGCCTCTGCCAGATTATCAGGGCATCCGTGGAGAGAAACTGATCAGATTCGGAGGATGTCATGAGGACAAGTTTGCTCATTTCCTGTCATTGTCATATTTCTGCATCTGATGCGTCTGCTAAGTTCGACTCCTCCACTTTAACTGCGGAAAGCGTTATGTAATATGTGACTTTGCAAAGTGAGTGTAATATGACTCATCTGTAAAGATGACGCAGCACATGATTGTGAGTTGTGAATCGAGATCGTACACTGTGAGATGCAACGTCATGTCACAGGGTCAATTTATAGTGTAGCGTTATATATTTATATAACTACTGTGAAATCTCAATATTTCACCCTAGGTTGGCTGTGAAAGTCATGTGACACTTTACCCCTTCCATCCTAGCAAGTGTTAGTGGTATATTAGCAGCTATAATAACACTACAGTGTAGTGGTACATACATATATATAACATATAAGCCCTCCTATTAAGTTTCTATAACTGGATTATTAACTATTAATGAATGAATTAATAAACACAGTATAACCTTTTTATATATTTAATGCTAAATAAATATACACATGAACAAATCCTACAGGTATTATGAAAACATGATCATCTGTTCTTATGCTTTTTAATAAATCATATCTAGATTCTGTTCAATGTCAGACTGTTTATATTGTTCGTATAATTACAAATATGATGTTATTAGAACCATTCATTCTTAACACTAGAAATGGATGCTTGGATGCAACAATAAACCCTCAAAAGTGTTGTTATTACCATTGAACTACATGATATGATATAGTGTGTTTTCAATCATGTATTAATTGTTTATATACAATGAATGGCTGAATTCTCTTTTCTCCTCTCTGTGCAGGTCTGACAGTGCAGCGGACAAAATCAGGTAAGTCTGTTTTTTGACTTTCTCCTGTTTTACCCATAGAAGTGTGCCCATGCATCATATGCTACCGACCTTATGCATATAGTTAAGGGTACAGTGGGACTGGCCTTGCTGTCACCCCATTTGCCCCGGGCCCGCCCACCCCACATGTGACACAGATTCATGGCTTTGTCCGCCAACCAAGGTGTCTGAATGCGCTTTACATTTGAGAGAGGCCAGCTCTGAATACAGTTGCAAGCCATGGAATGCCATTGTTTGCTTTTATTGGACAAACAAAATCAGACACAAACAGGGCTTTGTGAGTTGGACACCACTGTGGGGCTTTTAGTCTTTAGCCAGCCAACCGGTGGCAGGTCAGCACTGTGGACACACACTGTGGGCACACACACATAATTCTTCAGGGTGTGAAAGCTGCGCTGTCCCAAGAGACACGGTGCCAGTCCGAAAGCAAAAAGGTTCAAGGCGTAAGCTGAAAAGGTGAGTGAGATGAGCATTGTTGTGCTGAAGTCTGTGAGGTGCTGCATGAGAGAAATGTTTGAACGAGGAATTGTATGAATCGCTGGTTCTCAATGAATAACTTGGTAGAAGAGAACTTGACAATGCATGGGTTTAGTACTTTAGTTTATACATTATTTACATAACATTTATGGCAATTTCCTAATGTGGGGATCAGTCCATGTTGCATAATCTGCACTGAAACTGTATCAGTTTTTAAAGGCTTCTCTGACTCCTGCTTTGTATTTTTTACATCTTGTCTTTTGTGACTGGCACTGCAGATTTATAATAGGATTGAATAAGGAATTAAAGCTTTGTAGAAATGGGGGTTTGCATGTTTTTACTTTGTGAAAAGCGATAATGACAGCTTGCTATGAGGCCATAACAATGAGATCTCTTTGCTTTTTGGTGTGTGTGTCTGTGTGTGTGTCTGTGTGTTTACGTGTACTATGCTTGCAGTGATCAGTCAGAAAAAGCAGTGTTTGTGCAGCACATTTTCTGAGCTGAGTGGACACTGTTATTTTGGTGCATTTGTGTGTGTGCGCTCTGGTATGTGTGTGTCTGGTTTGGTATGCTTTGAGTGGTCAGTCATGCAAGTTGGGTGACTAGCAGACCAGTCTAGGGTGAAACCACTAGGAGTCTCTGTACTCCAGTATTTAGTGCAATATCCTTCAAGCCAGTAGCCTTTGGAGGGGAACTGATGGAAATCACCTTTTTTTTTTTTTTTTAAATTCTACTTGTTTCAGTCTCTTGTTGAATCTCACTGCTGCAGAATGAAAACACAGGAATCCCAGAAAGTCAGAAAAGGTGTTTTAATTTAGATGAATAGGTGGCACAGTTGTAGAAACTGTTCTGATAAACACTGAGTATAATCTAATATTATTCATTTGGCAGAGTCAACCATTAGACCAGGGCTGAACAATTTGGGGAAAATTTTAATTTTTCTGATTGATATTGCAATTTGATTTGCAGTCAAGCTTTTCAAGCTTTCGTTCAATATTGGTGCGTAGTAGATTTAAAACATGTGATGTAGCATTAACACAGGAGATACATTTAAAAGCATGCTTGTCATACAAGGAGGATGGCATGCATCTGTAAAAGCATTGACAAAACAATGTAAAACCAGCACCAGATGTGTTGCATAAATCTCTTTGTGATTTGCTAATTGCATTGTTTTAAATCACAGTTTTGATCAAATACTGATTAATTGTTCAGTCTTATGACTGAGTGATTCTGCTTTTTTGTTTCGGAGTGTTTAAAGTGTTGTCTCCACTTACCTACCTGTACATTTTCTGAAATAATTCCTAGGTTGCATACATTTTGCTTTGGGTTGCACAAACAACACAAACAGAGCTTTAATCATATTGGGTAAGTGAAAATAGGAAAATACAGAGAATGCATGATGGCGAATGTTTACTCCCTGATATTAGAACACAGATTTGTTTAGTTAGCCACCCACAAAAAATGAGGTGCAAAACAAACAGTTTTCTGATGACAAATCAGATCAAATCAGTCTGATGTTATTGTACTGATAATACTTGAATATATTAGAGATGAGCATCTACAAGCCAGATAATGTTATATCATCCTTGTCTTACCTCTGCCTAACCAGATCCTTTATACAATGTTTTGTTTCTGTATCCCCGTAGCCCCACTGCAACTATTTCCTAAGTAGTCTCGAGTCACAAAAACTGCACAATAATCGATGCTCACTTCTAAGAGCAACTGTAAATAATGCATGCAAAAAGCCCTCCGGCTGGATAAAGTGGGCAGGATGCAGGAGCAATTGGAAACTCTGCAGTTTGCATGTTTGAAAGAAGAGTTTGAGTGAGCTGCCATTGTGCCTGCAAGCCCTGATGTATTCTTTGTTTTAAAAAAAAAAAGAGAGAGTGACTGCAGGGATGAATATTGTGACAGTAACTGAGCTTGTCCTTGTAATGACTATCAGAGTTCTGCCGCTGAGATTCTCCTAAACAGACCCACATTGTGCTTTCTGCCTTTGTTCTAGTGTCCGCATTGCTCTTCTGCTTCTCAATTTCTGGATTATCGATCATTGTCTGTGGTTTTGAGACATTAGCTTCCAGTGATGGAGGTCAGCATAATCTGATCTCACTCTTTACTTTGTGCACAAGCCTCAGAAAAGCAACGATCCAACATATGAAGTAAATGATACTCGGAAGATAAACAAGTCCCCAGTTTCTGGTTTTGGATGACTTTCAAATGGGGAAAGGATAAGTCAGTACAGTCAAACATAATTCACCCAGGACGGCATATCAGGAGACTTTTCATTGGGAACACTTCTTTCATACTGTTCCTTACACTCTTTTTGTTTAGCACTCTTTGGTTTGTGCTAACAAGCATCATTATCTAAACAATTTTATTCTCAGTTTAATAATAATATCTGAATCTTTTGATTTCCTTTTTCATAGTGATTCCTGTAATACACCAGATCCAGTTCAACCTGTATGGAAGATAATATCAGTACATCCAAATGCTTATGATAATGAAGGTGACTATGATCTAAGTGCTATTTGTTTCATTTTTTTAAAGATTCAGGTCATTGCCAGTGTTGTTACATCCACAAAATAAGATACATTTATGGCATAGCTGCTCTCTTATTCATGTGTGAGATCGTGTGCATGCAGCCACAGTGTCACTGATGGAGCTCCTCAGAAAGATGCTGTGATTCGGTGGCTGAGGACCACGAGTACATGTCTGCAGCTTGTAGACAGGAGGAGGAGGAGGAGGAGAGACGGAGAAAGTGAAGGGGAGCACAGCAGAGCGGGGAGGGAGGCTGATAAAGCAGGGAGTGGAGGAAACGAGGTGAAGGACCACCCTTGTCGAGCATAGCCGTTCGCAGGGAGCCTACCAAAGGGACCTTCCCACACACACACCATGGCCAGCCAGCCAATCAGAGCGCTCGCATCCTTGACCCATCCTCCCTCGTACAACTGCTCATCCATGGCTCAGCAAAGCAGATGTGAGGTGGTGCGGTAGGATGCGAGTCTGTGAATCACTTGCACAGAAAATTGGAACTCATTGTGTTTTTTTATACATATACCTAAGGAAAGATGGTAATTTGACAGTAGCTGGGATTGTAGGCAAGGACAGCAGCATCCAGAGCAGCCTGGACCGTCCTGCGTCTTCTGAACAGGCATTTTGGCTTAACAAGTGTTGTCTGTATCACCTCTGTAACTGCAACTGTTGTGTGAGACCTTATTTTTCCTCTGACTGATATTGGATGTTCTGTGCAAGAGATTTCGGACAAGGGGGATTTTGAGGCTTGGCGAAGATGACAAAGCTCGCTGGACAAGTGACAATTTGACAACGAAACAGCGAGACAGTGATTGAAGAGAGGCCATGAGAGCCAGGAGAGAGGCCAGGATGGTGTCTGCCTGTTCACCATGCACAAACATAAGGTCAGGTCTAATTTCTGTTACCTGTCTTTAAATGCAGCACATTGCTATCCTGTAGTCAAACAGCAAATTAGCTGGCATGCTCATAAGATTAGGTGCATGATATTAATATGAAATTGTACATCTGATATTGATAACCCAGATTTTATTTCAGTTTGGAGTCGTCTTTTGAAACGTATTTTTTTTAAATGCAAGCAATAGAATGTAAGACAAGATCCAAAGATGATGTTAGAATGAAAATTAAATGTAGACCGGTATATCACTGATGCTAGTTATTACCACATACTGCTACAACTCTGTAATCCATTATATGCTATAAAATCCACAACTGGTTCTTTGGCTATCTGACAATCATCCTGCGGTTATCTATGGAAATAACTGATAATATAATGCTATTGTAGCTTCCACTTACCAAATTGCATGACCCGGTCGCTGATATTGTTTCATTCTGTCTGGCCTTTTTTGAAAAAGATGCATCTGCTCTTGTTTCTGTCCATAGCAGATTTTTAAAAGTCAATTGCATTAGTTGTTTTCCCCCCGTTTTAACTTGCTTTAGCATTTAAAGACTGGCCAACCTTTTGCAAGATAATGTTAACGTCACTCGCTGTTTTGTATGTTGATACATTCAGTGTACTGCTATGTTTTCTATATTTGTGCTCTCTGAGTTAGGGTGGGGCCACTATTAAAAATGTGATTAAAATAACTTTTTTGTCAGCTTTTATTTCCTTTGCCAATTCATTTAATGGTGAAATCTGTCAGAGTGATTCATCAGCAACTTCATTTTCCTTAACCTGATGAATGCAGGGGTGTGGCATAATATATCACAGTATGCAAGTGCAGTCCACCTCTTGCGCACATGCACGTACACATTTGTGCAGAGAGGATTTTCCAGCTGGCTTCTAAATCTCTCCTGTGATCTCTGCTCCCCAGGTCCATTAAGGGCAATTGGGTTAGATTTACTGTGCCTGTCGACGGGGATACAGGGCAGTACTAGGACTGCTTTAGGTTACCCGTCTGTGTAAAACACTCTTGGCAGGTGTTACTGTGCTACCTTCACATAACCATCTCTTAGCTCCTGTATGAATCACAAATGATAATCGTGATCAATAGAAGTGGTAGTAGCTTGAGCAATCTCTGATTCATGAGATAATGGGGGGAAAAAATAGCTTATTTGCTTTAATGGAAAGAAACGATTGCTGGCCAAAGTGCCTGTGTCAGATTTCTTTCTTCCTGTCAAACAGTCCTGCTGCTCAATTCCCTTCTGATTCTACATGTATAAATGGTATAATGTCAAAGATTACATTAGCATCCCTATCACAGTCAAGATTTCTACCTCAGGAATTTATGAAATGGTTATTTTGAACTTTAAATCATTTAAATACAAAAGGGTTGTAGCTAATATTAATAGTTAATCAGTTAACAGTTATTCAGAGGGTACCAACGAAGCTGCAAATGACATAAAATGACTTAATATAATGATATGGATAATACCATGCTCCCAAAATGTGTTTATGAATACGCTATCATATTAGAAAGGTCTTAATGCACATTCATCACTTATCACATGTTCACCAAGGCCATTGCAGTATCTTTTCTTGAAAGGTGAAAAAAGACTATGTAAATTTGGCCTGGAAAATTATCAATTTGCTGCCAGCCACATAAAAATGTGTACAGGGAGTTTTCTACAAATGCAAAACAAAATACTTTGAAGTCTTACATTTTTAATGGGATATTATTACTTTTTCATACTGCTCATCTCTTCTTTACCCCCTTTGAAAATCTGTGAATCTGTGGATATTTATTTGATACCTTTGAAATGTGAGTTTCATGTGTAAAAACAGGAACATATTCCAATTTACCTGAGCGTTTCCTTCAGTCTGACACATTTTGAAAATGTAATATAAATTGTGCTTAGTGTTCCTCGGTGATTACAAACTATTAAGCAATGGCTAAAAAGCAGAAAAGAATCTAGCATTATCACTTGCTAGCTCGTAAGGCACCTGCTTCATTGACAACTGTAGAAACAAACCTAAAAACAGGACATGTGGTTTTTTTATCTGCAGACTCCAGTTTTTGGATGGATTGATTGAAATTACTTCAAAAGGGTTCTTTTCAAGCTCATACTCTATCCAATTTAGATCAAACACTAAAATATAATACCCAAAGCTATTTTAAGACCGCTCTTTTTTATCTTTTTGACCAGTCTGAAGCTGAGTAGTAATTGTTTTATCACAGCCTGTATTTTGAGCCAGCTGTTGATGTCGCACACTGAAGGTGATTCATTAAGTACTCCTGTCTGTCACTGGCACACCCACTTACTGTTTTTGTGAAAGGTCTTGTTTTCATGCTGGGTGGACATCTGCCTCACTGTAGAGTTCCACAAGGAGATATGCCATGCACATATGCCTTTTAATGGTATAAAATCTAAGTATAGACCTGTCTTTGTCTTGCAGTGATCATTTTTAGAGACAGATCTGTCCATCTGTCCACAGTTGGAGCTGAAGTTGATACAAATACATTTGTCCAGAGTGCACCTAAGATAGAGGCTTATTAATGGACCGGTGGTTTGGGGGGACATTTTGAGGTCTGTGAGATAATGAAGCTGACGGTTAATTCAATTCATTCGCAGCTGAAGTGGTAAGTTAAGACACTTAAAGTACCCTATGTGGGCAAGAGTAAGGTGGAATTTGCAAAATCGACCATAATATGCACCCAGGTTTTCACATCACCTTACAGAACATACTGTGTCAGTCTGAGTGGGCCATGTGTTTGCATTCAGCAGGCCGTCACTGCTGACTAATCACAGGGCCTCTGGTGACTCACGGTGTAATTCACATATGTTCATCCGCAGATCAATCCTGCTGATCACGCTAAATTACTATATCTCCGCCCTAGCAAGCTGACATTTATTACATTTTTTCTGCAAATAAGCACTCTTACCCCAATGCATATCCGCAGGGATAAACCTTAAATATGTTGTAAGGGGGAACCATCTGCCAAGTTAAAATGAATAGCACAATTGTTGCAAAAACTGTAGTTGTAAGTACCAATTACTTCATCAATCTGCAACCTATCAATCAGTCAGTAGTTGGATTTATAAAATCATATAAAATTGTGAAACGTGTATCATCAGATGGCATGTTGTATCTGTTTCACTTTTTGCCGTGTTCAAAAGAAGATTGATAAAAACGGAACATCTCACATCCATCTAGGGGTTTAGCTCTGCAGATGTGTTGACTCCAAAGAACAGAATAGACTAGAATAGAATAGAATGCTTTTATTGTCATCATACACAAAGTACAATGAAATTAAAAGACAACTCCAGTGATGCAGAAGTATAAAAGTAAAAATATAAAAAGACAAATAAGAATATATACATGTATTTACAAAAGGAGCCAGTGGGAAGTATATACAGTTAGCCAAATGGTAGAATAAATATATTGCATTGTTGAGGTAGGAACACTGTGCATATATGAGAAATTTAAATAATATAAATAAAGAATTGTTAAAAGTAATATAATATATATAAAATATATACAAATACAGCTATCATATATAATAATTAAAACAGAATTATAATATGTATAGTATAGTATAGTATAGTATAGTATAGTATAGTATAGTATAAAGAATAAATATATGTGATAAATAGTACAGACTGTAGACTGTGTGTTCAGTACCCGTATTGCACTTGAGTAGAACGTGTTGGTGAGTCTGGATGTGCGAGCCTTGATGGACCGGTACCTCTTTCCTGAGGACAACAGGGAGAACAGGCTGAGAAGATCTTACTCAAATTCAGTTCTTTGTGCCAGTTTGCCTTCCTTACATATCCGCCTTTACTGGAAAGTCTGTTTTCCAGGTTTTATAAATCAAGTAGTGTAATCTGCAATCTGTCTTTTCTGGACTGCCTTCTTCCATCACAGATGTGATTGATTTCCCCTCTAGCTGTTCCAAAGGCGACACAGATTATTCTTACTCAGGGCTTCCTCCATTTCTCGGCATTTGAAAAAGAAGAAAACACCCAGGGTCAGTGTTACATATCCACTCTTTACTCATCGCATAGTGAATATTGAAGCATTTTGACACTGCATTTATTTTGACTCCATTAAGCAGCAGCATACAGAGGCATTAGCTAAATGACCTTTAGTCTCAGTGGGTAATACCTCAGTTAGTCAATTTATCTCAGTGAGGAAAAATTAAACTTGACTACCTCAGTGGCAGGCAAAGGATCTGTAGAAGGTGATGCACAGCCAAATGAAACTTCTCAATAGCTGCTGGGAAGCTCACTCAGGGGTAAAGGAGTGGGAAGAAATTGCTCTGACTGGAGAGGCAAATGTATTATCAGGTGCCAGAGCAAAAATGAATTGATTGAATAAATGGAGGAGTGGTTGAGGGCCTCTGATGATCACAGTGATTCATGGTACATGTGGGCACTCTGTATTGAATCGCTGCTGGCAGTAGAGCGAAAGGACTGCACTCTGCAAGCCCAGTAATCTATTGCTCTATACATGCACAGAAAAACACATAAATGCACATATACATGTAGTTTTATGTGAAATATAATGTCAGACTATTCTGGTTTGTTTCAAATATCCTAGATTGTAATAAAACTAAAAGCAAACATGAGGACGTGTCTACAGTCATGTTAAGGCTTGTAGTTTGAATTTGAGTGCTCACTAAGTAACTATACTGACATGACTGAAGGGGTAGTTTTTGGTCCTAATGAAAGCAAACAGTGCTTTCTTACCTTTGAAAGGGTAATCTATAGCCACTTTAGGAAACAACACAAAGGGTTTTCTACCTTTTCATGATAAAACATAACAAAGAGTACATTTCTATATAATTTTGTGTTTGCTTGTCTTTAGTCCAGGAAATCTCAGCAGACGTTAGTCATCATTGTCATCAGGACAATCACAGAATGAATAACCAAAGAAGAGATGCTACCAAAACTTCTCATTTACTTTTCTCTACCTTCACTGATAGGCCAAGCAAAAGAAGTGGAAGAAACTGATATGGAAACCTCAAAGGTAGGCTATAACTCGACGAGCATAAGACACTCCACACAGCAGTGACATTCTACGGCAGCTTAGATATGCTTCATGTCATTGAAGCAAAGATACACAGTAAACTGTGGGACACATACCCTCCTACATCCTTTGCATATAGTCATCTGTGCTGTAATCTTAATAAAAATAACTTCTTAGTCAACAGAAAGCCCTGCACGTGATTAATCACTTCTGAAAAGCCCATACTCAGTCCCACCAAGAGAGGGAGCTGTTTTGGCATGGCACACTGAATACTAAACACATCCCAAAAAGTGCTTCTAGCTCCCATCCACTTCTTATATTCTCAGATTTCACAGTGAGTGAGACTCGGGAGCAAAACTGCTGTTGCATCATTTACTGAAACACTGTCAGCATTGTCCTTTGCAGGAGCTCAACTGGATTATGTGACACCGTAGTTATTCTGGATTCAATATGTAGTCAAAAACATAAGTGCAGGTGAAAGCCTTGCTGTAAAGAAAGACTAGACAAACTGGTCAAACACTCTGCTGCCATCTGAGGTGAGGGACGCAGCACTGATGTTAGAATTTCAGTTGATCAACTATCAGTAATCACTTTACTAGTAAAGAAGAGTTTTACTCAACCTGCGTATATATATCTGGTTTTCAGATGGTCTGCTCGAAGACTACAAATATTACCAAATCTAAACAGAGCCTGAAAGAATTAATGTTCACCAGAGGTTCATTATAAGACATATAGGTCTGTCTGTCTGTGTCTTTCAAACGTGTGGCACTGCCCTGATACAATGCTGGAGTTCCTCGTTAAATGAGGAATAAAAATATATCTAAAGTTTTTTTTGCTGATCAATTATATCTTATATTTTCAAAGCTTTTATGCACATGCTTATTCACAAATATTACTAGTAACACATTTTTGTTATTTGTTAAATGTGCACACAACAAATGTAACTTCATGTATAGAAATAGTTAGGATTTGTAATTTAACTCACATGTTGCAATTTTCTAACCTTCACTGGGATGATTTGAAACCAAACAGTTGTCATATCCTCCTGCGAGGAAACTGTGATATTATCAACCAGTTTCTTGCTCCAAAGCACTTTGGCAGTGATATTGGGCACTGAGTCATGCCCAGCTCAGATGTTTGTTCCTATATTGCAGTGAAGGTGTTCTTAACCTCGGGGTCAGAACCCCAGAAGGAGTCGTGAGGAGGATGCGTGGCTCCTTTTGTTTTACACCCCACTTGCTGCAAACATTTCTGATGACAGAATTCTGGCCCTCATAACCCAGCTGACAATGTTAGCGAGTGTAGTGATTCAAATGCAGAAATGCGGCGTAAAAATGTATCCGTCTTTGTCTAAATTGACGTATGGCTAAGCGAACTGTCATCGTGGTTCACTTGTCTGAACAATGTGATGCTTTCTCATTTTTTGATGATTTTCAGAGAAAGAAAGCCGACTTGTAAATGATCATCAAGGCTCATCTAGTAGAATGCGCATGTAGCTTATTCCCTGAGAAGCCTTGTGCTGAAGAATGCATTAGAAACACACATTACACATTTTATTTTAAACTGTTTTCTTTACATTTACATTGATGGATCTCATTTTTAAATCACTGACTATGGAATTCTATTATGCACTCCTAAAGTTAGCTTTTCCCGTGAAGGATGGCAAAATATTCTCAATCCCAAATAAGGCTCACACATATGGTTAGGATCAGCAACTGGTGAGTTTGATAGCGTGTTATCAGCATTATCCACTAAGGATTGGTTTAAAGATGAAGGATCTAATGGCCCAATGTTGTGCATTTGTGTCCAGTTGGTAAATATCATAAACCCGAGCCCCTATTGGGCCACCTGAGGAGTTGCGTAAAATGAATCGAAGGTTTGCTGTTGTCTGGGGACATTGGAGGATTTTCTCCATTTCTGTAGGATTTGACCTTGTTGATGTAATCCAGGTTTCAGCCATACATCCACTGCGTAGGCTTGTTCTGGAAAAAAGACTTCAGCTTTGTAGGCTTTCACCAATGGAAAGTTTAGATGTTTGAAAGTCTGAGGCCTTGCTGCTGCTTTGTCACCATGTGTGACGCTGATCATTTGTGATGCTCAAAATAGCTCAAGTGCTGTTCTTGAAGGCCTTGTGGGTGGCAATGGCATAGCAACCAGTAAGCAAATGTAAAGGCAGTTTGAGTGGGCCTTGTGTTTCCCTGCCTATATCTGAATGTCTGTGCAGAAGGTCCTCTTGTGGCCTTGAAGCAGCGGGCCGGACTGCTCTTGACTTCGATGGCGGCAGGGTCGTCTCTGTGGCAACAGCCCTGACTGACTAGATGGAAGGGGTCAGTCAATATCTCTCCACCCAATCCCTTATCTCGTCACTGCTCCACAGCACAGAGTCCTTTAATACAAAAATAGCTTTCCTCACTCAACCTTCAAGCTTTTACTTCAGAGTACAGAAGTGTTGTGCAAGTCGGTGCCGCTGAAATACCACTGATGCATGGACATGGACATAATTTATACAGCATTATTCATGCAGCTGCTTTGTTTTAATAAACTTGCCAGCTTAAATAAAGGTTAAGCATATGTTTAGCTTCAGGTTCCTCTAAGGAAAGAGCATGAGGACACAGATGGGGTTATTTTTTTTTCATGTCTGTGTTTGACTGTTACCAACGAAGGAAAACCCCCTCGGCGACAGCACATCTGACCATGTTGCCTTCAACATCACGGTATATCTCACGCTCACTGATGGTGAGGTCATGTGGAACTATTTCGTAATTGTGTGACGACTTAGCTGGCATCGTATAGTTATGTAATCAGGAATGTTTAAAAAAAAAAAAAAAGTATCAATGATATTGAAAGGGTTTTTGGCATTGAAAATAAACAGCCACGGGCGCCCGTATAGCTCACCTGGTTGAGCGGGTGACCCATGAACAGGGGCTACAGTCCCCGACGCAGCGGTTGTGAGTTCGAATCCCGCTCATGGCCCTTTGCTGCAGGTCTCTCCCTCATTCTTCTCCCCCCTTTCCTGTCTCTCTCCACTGCTCTAAATAAAGGCAAAAGCCCAAAAAATATATTTAAGAAAATAAACAGCCAAAAAACACTTTAAACAAAAAAAATAAAGATGTAATTGTAGTTATATGACTGAAAGCACAAACTAATTCATGAAACTTTATATTTCATCGTGGTTAGAAAGAGTCCCATGAGGTCTGTTTGACTTTCCGTCCTTAGACAGGAGTGTCAGCAGTGCAGTGTTACAGTAGCAGCTAAAATGTATATCATACAGCACTGGATGAACTAGATCCGGAGACATCAGCGAAACCTGATCTTGCTGTGTCGTGACATCATTTTCTGAACAGGGCAGCTGTGTATCTGAGCTCAGGGTCATGGATGTGATGACTCACTGATGTGCTGCATAATAGCTCCAGCTCCAAGTTTAGACTGGTGATACACAAAGACTTTCTGTGTCTTTTTGCTGGTAGCCAATAGAGACAGTCATTACTAGTCTATTTATATTAACCAGTCAATAATAACTTCTAATGAATTACAATTTTCTATTCATTAAATGACAACACGTTTGCAGCCATCCAGGGTGTCTTGTTAGTGTTGAATCTTTTATTTAAATGTTAAAGACACTAAATCAGTCCCGATCCCTGTCAAAAAAAAACATTTCAGAGCTCTCCTGTCAGTTATCCCTTTTAAAGTCAATGTGCTCCATTAATAACTTAAAAGTCACCTTCTAGTTTAAAGACATACAGCCAGCTAACCTTTAGTGTAGGAGCAAAGGTACTAACACAGACATGAATCTTTTCACTATCTGGGTTTATATAAGTTTGCTGTCTGAAATGCTTTATCTACTGTTACAAAAGTTTTTGAAAGCAGTAAGTAAAGACTGGTGTAACATATATATATATATATATATATATATATATCAGCTGACTTTCAAAAGAAAAAAAGTACAGTATAAAACATTTGATTATGTATTTGCACCTTGTTTTGATTATTTACCTAATATAAGTGAATGCAGTTATTTGTTTGACTTGTCTCAGAACCTAACATTTTAACTACATTTTCTCTTTGGTGTGCCCTATGATACAAATACCTAAACTTTATTAGCAGGCTCTCAAAGAGAAATTAAAGACGAGCTTATCAAGGGGTGAGCAGCTAAGACAAAATTTCCAGCAGTGTTTAAGTGTAGTTTAGAATTGGTATGTAGCATATCTAAGTAGCTAATATTATAATAGATTACATGCCAGTAAATACATTCTTGTCTTCTATTCAGTTTAAGAAACAGTCACAGAGTGAATCTGCTGCAGGTTCATCATCACCATCTTCTTATGTTGATAAATGAGGACGTCAAACATACTGAGCTCATGAAGCAACTGTTAAATCATTTCATGTATCATCATTAGTTTACAGTGAAAGGAGATTTGCAACAGTAAGTACGTTTTATCATAATGATTGTAAAATATGATGCAGTTTTAAGATGTTTATGTTGCACCCTGCGTACCAGGTGATAACTTCAAATAGTGTTGATTGATCGATCAAGTCTGTTGAAGGAAATTAACCTTCAGCAGCATGAGATAAATTTAATGACACAAATTGAGTGATTAATTAAAATTAAGAACAGTCAATCAGTTTCAGACTGATGTCTGTCTTGTTTGTCTATGGATTGTGCATTTCTAGGTTTGTGAAGTTTTCTCACTGTATGAGACTTCCTCACTTTTAACTCTTCAGGCTAGCACTTCAGAAACCAATTTATTTTTCTACAAATAAGAAAATAAAACACAACTCCAGTGAGGTTTTATATGTGTTTTTTTTTGTTGTTTTTTAAAAAATATATAATACAGTGATTCTTTCCTAGCAAAGGGACCACAGTCATACCTTTGTCTTATGCTCAGTGTATAAAGAAAACCTATAAAACCGTGACAGAAATATTGAAAACTTCACACATGAATTACAGTATGCTGAGGGAAGAGAGCTGAAATATGCTGAGATCTAAGATTCTGAGTTTTTAAATGCATTTAAAACACATCATTATTGATAACACTAATAACCGCTACAGTTGAATGGATTTATATTTGTAGATGTAGTTATTCATAAAGGTGTAAAAATATAATATAAAATATAATATAAAATTTAAAAGGATGTGGGGCCCACTACAGGGCTTGGGCTTTTGTGCTCTCTCACTGTTTGACAGTTTAAGTATAAACACAGATGTCAGCCTATATCATGGTGTATCATACATTCCTATGTGTAGTATATAGTAAAATCACAGCATAAAAGTATTATTTTATTCTTTATCTGTTAACTTTAATAAATAAATAAATAAATACAGGCCAAACTGTAAATAACGTCCATATCACAAATGTGTATTTTTACAAGCAGTCATTTGTTGCTTTGCAATGTTTGACCATAAAATTAAACTCTCTTCACTACATTAAAATCTGCCAAAAATATCATTATTTTGCAGATATTTGAAGATAAATTAAGTTTGTTAAGGATTAAAAAATGCTAAATAATATAACTGTTGTAACATCCAGCCACTATATTTTTTCAAAAATGGAATTCATTTTTTACGATATGTGACTGTTTTGTGGTCTTTTCATATGCTAGACAAATATAAGTATTTGTCATTATTTTCAGCTGTTTTTACAGTTTTTGAATGTTACAATAACTAGTTTTTGTGGCAACCTTGCTGCTCAGACTTGTACTGTTTTTGCAAGATTTTTTTATTTATTTTTTTAAAATTTGGCCATAGTATCCATAAAAAATGGAAACAGTGGAGGACAGACGGTGTGTGTGTGTGTCAAGCTATTTTTGCGTGAATTAATAATAAAGCCTGAGTATTTAACCTGCTATGAGTCGGTGATGAAACTGCAAATAACAACCTCTCCCTGTTACTTAAACACTGTAACCAACTAACTACATAATTTCTACAAGTCAGTTAGCTGTGACAGGTATTTTTTTCATCCCATTGTGCTGACCAGTTATAAATATAAACTAGATTTAGATCATAATTACAAAGGTGTTACTTAACCAGCAACAAACTACCATTTTACTGTATTTTCTTGTCTGTTGTAGCTGAAGCATACACCTGCAGTATGGTTTAAATTAATGGGGATAATCCCAAACGCCATTTTTCCACCACCTCCCTCCTTCTCTCTTGTCCTCCTTCTTTCTCTGCTTTGTTTAGTAATTATGGATGTGTGCGATAGAGGTTTGTTGGGGGGAAAAAAAACATTGGTCTATTTTCATCCTGCTTGCTGCAGCAGAAACAGGAAGTGTAAGGCTTTTTTAAATGAGTGCTTTAATGTCAGCACGTGCTCTACATTGTTCTTTTATTCATAGCACACGTGACAGGCGCGGAGAAGGCCATCTGTATCTCACTTTATCACTTTTTGGGTCAACCTAATATTGAACATGATATCCATCCCTCGCAGCGCTGCTCATTTTTTCTGTCGAGCACATTATGTATTTTACCATCGCTGTCTCATTCTGTCTTTCACTCTCCCTCCCTGCACTGCTTTTATGTTTTTGTCAATGTTGGCTATCTGCAAAGTATCTCTTCTGTCCTCAGTGTGATGCCTGCTGCTTGTGGATTTTCAGCATAATAGTAAATTTACTCAGGCCTCCTACTGAGCCGGTGTCTGTTGTGTGGTGTTGTCCCATGTTTGCATCTGTTTAGCCTTATTCTCACTGTGAGACAATGTCTGTGTTCCTGACTTATCCGTTGTCTGTGTTTATCGTTCATGTCAACCCGTTTCACTATGCCATCTGTCCTAAATTCACACCTCGTTTCCATTCAGAAACATCAAAAATGTGTGGCCTGTAGTTGATGGTTTGATTCGCTCTCCTGATTAAGCTCGATATAAGTCACTTGATGTCTGTCTCATCTCATGCTTGTCATGCCCTCATTCTATATTAAAAATAAGAACCAAGAGCAGCGATCACATCACTCTTGTTTAAACCTCTTGACACAGGTCCTCATTATGTTTTAAATTGATTTGAAGACCTTATTGTCAAGTCAAGTGGGTTTATCTACACCGATCAGCCACGACATAAAACCACTGACAGGTGAAGTGATTAACGTTGATCTTGTAGTAATACAATGTTGTGCTGGGAAACCTTGGGTCCCAACATTCGTGGTGACTTTACTTTTGACTGGTACCATCAACCTAAACATTTTTTGCAGTGTAAGCACACCCCAGTGACAATGGTACCCGAGATTCTGATCTCATTGAGTATTTTTGGTACAATTCACGGAGGCCCCCAACCTGCAACCCACAGGATTCAAATGATCCGCTACTAACATACACCCATGTACCCTTACCCTGATGCGTCAGAGATGTTTTGGCAGCACTGGAGAGACTTACACAATATCAAGCAGGTGGATTTTAACATTGTGGCTGAATAGTGTTAATAAAATATTTAAAGACAAAATACTGACTGAAGTGCTGCACAACATCAGACAGATAGAACTATTAAAACTAGTTCATGTAAAGTTGAGTCATTTTAAATCTCATTGTATGGTAAACTACAAGTTATTTGTACTGTACACATAGATAAAATGAATTGCCTTTACTGTATGACAGCCCTCCCCAGTATAATTATGACCATTTAGTACCCTTTGAGCTGTAGATTGCTGTCAGTGGCTTCTTTTACAGCCATTCAGTTTTTTTCTGGATTGTGAGCCTTCAAGTGTACTGGTTTTATGATTTGTCTGTTTTAATTTGCTGTTCTGTGTGAAGTACTTTGTAACACTGATTATTGAAGGTACACTATAAAGGAAGGTCATTATTATTTATGAATATTTAATTTGTGTGTGTGTGTGTGTAGGTGTGTGTGTGCGTGTGTGTGTGTGTGTAGGTGTGTGTGTGTGTGTGTGCGTGCGTGTGTGTCTGTGTCTGTGTCTGTGTCTCTGTGTGTGTGCGCATGTGTGTGTGTTGTGAATGCATGCTCTTTCTCTCTGCACTGTGACCTTGACAACTCAGATTATCCAGCATGGTCAGTTCATCAATACATAAACTGCCAGGCAGTCACATGATCACCCATTTTCCTCTCTGACCAGATAGTAAAAATAAATCTATAGGGGTTGTCCATGTTGAAGGAAAACAGTACAAATGTAGTCCATGCTGTGTTACAAAATAAGAAACGCCCACCAGACTGAATGGGAGAGTCAAGCTCACCACGCCATCCAATCGCACAAAGCAGTGTAGAGGGATTAATCCAGATTATCTGCCAATGCTATTCTTAGAAATAAATGAAAAATCTCTGGGCCAGATTAGGGTTCAAGGAATGCTAAAAAAGAAGCTGATTAACAAATGACTACTATCTGTCATGGCATGACTCATTCGGTGATGTCTGAGCTCAAATGTCAATTCTTTTCATCTTTTCCTTAGACAACCTTTAAAGACAAAACCACCTGAAAATTGTGTGTTGTTGGTCACATTGAGCGGAGCATGAATTTAGGAAATGCAAGTCTATTTACTTTTACATCAGAGTAAATCAATTTCCCTGATGCCAGAGGGAGCACCGTCGTAAGTGTTTGAACATAACAAATATTTTGCCACAGTAGCACTTGCTGCAATGTGTCCAGCAGGTGGCGTCAGTGAGAAGAAACTGCTCACTGACTGTTTGACTCTTCTCTACAGGAGCTGTCCATTCAGCACCACGTCTGAACTCAGAGCACTGACAAGAGTCAAACTACCGTCACGCACAGCAAGAAAGATCAAAGATATGAGAACCTTTCATAGTACAAAATAAACCAGTCCAGGTTTCAAAGGCAACAAAACATCACATTTTAAATATAGCCAATTTTTGTTCTGCTGCATCAAATCCGTCTTCCAGTCATTACACATGGTATTAGCTGTGTTATGCTTAACTTTTTAATAGGTTGGTTCAGTTTGACTAACCAAAATGCATTCAAAAGCCTGCCTCTGTGTGTTGAAACTGTTGCAAAGAAGCTCTAGATTATATTATAACAGGCACAAGTCTGCTCTGATTTCTCAGTATGAGAACAATTTTTTAGGTGATGCAGTTTAAATTTGCATCTATATGTAAAATATCTATTTTTCAATTGACAGGAACTGCTACAGCACAACAGATACTTTGCTGGACCGGTGTTGTATGGTCCACAGATGTAATAAAATGTTACAATGACCCCTCTGGCTGCTTTGATGCCTTCTTTGTATACAGTAATACTGACAGAAATTAACAGTACACGCTCCTTGATGCACCAGTGTTATGATTAGGGGAAGCTTAGGCATGATGTTCAGCTTTTGTTAAAAAGTGAAAATCTCAACAATCAAGTAGCAGGTGACATTTTGCTGACTGGTCTCTGTGGCTTTGCTGGATATCCCCAGAAATCATGACCACCAATAATCTGACATGGTATATACAAAAATTATCAAGATGCACCAAAGCTGCAGGTATTGTTCCTGCTTTTCTTTCCTGTGAAATTGTAAGTGAGCGATGACTAGGTGGGCAGCAGATGGACTCTGTGTGAGGTGACTTACTGTCTTCTTGCTTGACTGAAGCTCAGACTGCAGCACTCACTGCTTCACCCTGGGAAGAGATTAGAGTGCTCTCACATCTTTGCCTTTTTTTTTTTTTTTTTTTTTTTTCAACTTGTCCCTTTAGGGCCTCCGTAGGGATCAGATGTTTACAGTTATGTAATCCCCGTCCTTGTTGGCTTTTCTTTTCTTCCCCCTTCTCTCCCGCTTTTTTTTTTTTTTTTTTTTTCTCCCCTTTTCCTCACTTTTCTCTCCCTGCAGTCCGACCACATTCATGGTAGCCTTTGGGGAGAGACTATGCTGGCTAACAATAAAGAGAAGAACGTGTCCTCCTGTCTGCTCCTGCCTGCCTCATGGCCTGGAGATGAAAGATCCACTCACTGATCCTCATCCCTGTGAGAGTTTTTTTTCTCGTGATAAAAGTAATCACAGTATGGTCTGAGGTGCTTTCAAGAGTTAGCAGCTGCCAGCTATTGATTGCCACTCATGGATTGTTTCATGGAGACTGCGTCTGATTCTGATTCTCCAGGATGCTCAAATGCGCAAAGCAACAAGCACATGCACAAATGTATATGTACACATACATGTACACATTGCATTACAAACATACCACTTAGACTGTGTTTGCCAGGATATAAATGATTAATGGACAAATGCCAACTAAGCATCACATTCACAAACTATATTGATTATTTACATTAATTTGCTGTACTTCCTGTTTGCATTGGCAACCAAGTAACAGCACAGTAATGCATTAGACCACAAATGCAAAAGGAATTTACATAATACTTCTGTCTCTTAACAGAACAGCTTTTTTAATAAGGCAATCGTCAATGTCTGTTTCAGAATGTCCTTTACATAAAAGTTCAGGTCTTCAGTGGCATGATTACCAATCTGTTCAGTCTCTTTCGTGCTTTGGCTGCCTTACATGTTTTCAAACTTGCAATAAGGGAGAAAATGCTTGCACTATTATAACCGAGAGACATGTTAGTCCTTCTCTGCCGTGCTTCAGTCTCTGGAAAGTTGATGTAACACAAATGATATTATAGCAACATGGAGGCTGTGCACACATTTCCAAAGGTAGAGCTGTTTCAAGTCCTGAACCTTGTGTAGGGCCTCACTGTCTGTGACAGAAACATGTATCCTCCCAGACCAAAGAGCTCAAGACCGACTGCATTATCTGCCGGCCATTATCTTTTTTGGTTGCGTGCCATTTCTCTATCAGTCAGTCATGCACTCACCCTCTCCTGGCAACATTAGCATCTGAAAAAGCAGAGTGAGTGAATGAAGCTCAGTGACTCAGCACTCTAAGCTTAATAACAATAATAATGACAGCTTTATGTCGCGCTATAATAACACTAACTTTTCAGTGCTGTATATTGTCAACACAAAGCAAATGCAATCACCAACAAAGAATATCAATTAATGAAGTACCTAAGTGTCAAACGATTGAATAGATTTAATACATCATCCATTTTAGTAAAGAAAAATATCTGTAGATCTAAATTGTGCGTTTGCATCTGGGCAGGCCAGCCGATGTCGGTTGTGATGGTGGGAGAGTGGTTTGCATTAGCTATGGTATTAGTCACCCCTGATGATGTGTAATTTGCGTGCAGTGCTTTAAGAAGATTAAACAGGAAGAATGTGCTACACGCTGACCCAGTGCCTGTGATCAAGCCGGCAATTGTTTTGTCACGACAGTGACTATTAAAGGGTCAGTTCGATTTTTGTTTTTGTGTTTTTTTGGTGGAGCTGTATGAGATACTTATCCATAGTCAGAATGCTATCTGCAGTAGATGAGGATCAGCAGGCCCCCCTTTTTGAAGAAGCAAATATGAGTATCGGCACAGACACATGGCAGTGAAGTGCAGTGGATGGATCAGGAAAAATATATATATTTTAGTCATTTAAAAAACAAAAGAGGCCCACCAGTGTATGCTTTATTTAGAACATTTTCATTGCTTTATCATTCTGAAGGAGAACTGAAACTTTTATATGCATCTATCTTTAAAGCCACCACTGAACACAATAGTTGCTGGTCTACTGTTGCATTGATCAGTTAGTTTGTTTGTATTATGTCACTTTGGTGTTTTAAAAGGTTTGCTCACATCCAAACTAGCTAACTGTACATCGAAACTGACATAGATTTTTTTTTTCACTGGACCTTTTCAAGTGGTTAAAATACATTTTCCGATGCCCCCTTTCACAGCAATGTACCGGTGAGCTTCCATGTCTGCACTTCTGTCTGCCGCTCCAGATTGGAGGCATGCTGACTGCCATCTACTGTACTGACTATGGAAAAGTACCTCATGCAACCGCACTTTAAAACTAACCTTTCAAACTGAATGATCCATTCCTATTTGATACTCATGTCCTCAAGTGGTCAAGGGAGGAGATTAAGCAACTACTTCTGTTGTCAATGGACTGTGACGGTTTAAAGGTTAATCCGTTAAATACCTTCAAGATTAGTTTACATGGTGTTTAAGTCAGAGTCTGGCTTTCATTAGTTACTGTTGCTATGCTTGTCAGGTTTTCAATTTTTGCACATAATGCAGTCTACATGATTATGGTGACAGATTTAAAGTTTAGAATTGAGAAAAAAAAATTGTTAGTATGGGTCCTAATTTCAAACAGAAGTAAATGAAAGCATGCCTCTCATCTCTTCTTTATCGGGCCCTGTTAATCTGATTAATAATAATGCAGAGGTACTGAATCTAAAGACAGATCAGTTATGCAAATGTAACACAAGATTGGCTAGGCTTATTGGAGTGTGGATTCCCTCAAACCAAAGAAACCGCAGTCCAGAGGCACCATTGCTCCTGTAAACTCTGCAGTATCTTGGCTTCAATTTCATTTCAACTTCATTTCAACTTCATTTCAACAATTTCCCTGAGGTTTACACTGAAGGGATCAATAAAGTTTTATTCTATTCTGTTCTATTCTATTCTATTCTATTCTATTCTATTCTATTCTTTTTCTATCATAACATGTAACCCCACAAAATACTGTTGTTGGATTGGTAATAAAGCTGGACATGCAAGCATTGCAGCTTACATTTTCTTTGATTAGAGACCCATGCACAAGGTTTCAGGAGGAATCTAAAGCTTGACCAGCCTGTTGTGCCAGTCAATTAGTCAAATGAGAACAACTTACAAAAGACCCCTTTTAGATTTAAGCTCAGGTTATTGCAGTTATAAAACACCTATTAGCCAGCTACGCATGCTGACTCACCGTGAAGTCCATCTGATTCCTCATGTATGCAGAACACATACGCAGCGCAGGGCTATAAACACAGGGTGTACCCCACTACACTCAGTGCATTAAGAGATTAACAGGGTTATCTGCTGACACTGATCACGGCTGGAGTCGAGCACAAGAGGAAAGAATTGCAGCAGGTCCCCTCCCTTAATACTCTTCTTATACATGGCATAGGCAGTGGAAGTGGGGGTGGGGGTCAGTGCACAGAGGATGTTATGACCAGAGGCTACCATCCTGCTCTAGTCCTGCATGCTCGGCCGGCTAGGCTTATCTGGGAGAGAAATAGAGAACGAGAGCCATCTAGGGAAAAGGACAGAGAGAACAGAAGGGAAGGGGGGGAGGAGGGTAGAGATCCTGCGCCTGCTCACTGTGAGCACAGCAAGTGCAGCTTTCATCCGCAGCGGAGGCTGAGGCTGAGACACGGAGAGTTTGAGTGAGCAAACAGGAGCTCGAAGGGACAGTGCAAGAGCGTGATAGAACAGGGAGCCGAGTTAGAAAGAAGCAGTGACCGGCCATGTTGGTATTCGTTTGCAATTGCTAGCCCTCCCGCCTCTGATGCGTGATGCAGTTTGCAGCGTGAATGTTGCAGTGCAGGTCACCTCCTTCTCTTTTGGGAAAACCGAAGAACCCCAGGGAGGTGTGAATTTCTGGCACAAGTGCTCAGCACTGCGGCACCTTGATCCAAGCGAAGGAATGTAGCAGAACGGTTGGACAGAGCTGAGGATCATCCATCCAGACTTTGGTCCCCAACCATCCATCAGTCTCTGCATCCACTCCTCCCTTCTGTGCATCTCTCCTGCTCTGTGTATGGGAGGTGAGGCACTGGCAGGTTGTCAGTCAGCATGCGGCGGTGTGAACGGGCAGCCCAGTGCCCACAACACGCTATGGATGTCAGACACTCCTCGCTGTACTAATGAAAGGCTTCAAGCTCGCCTGGTAAGAACAAACAAAGAGAGGAGACGAGCTGGTTGAATGTGTTCTGTGAATGGTGTATCTGAAATGTTGTTGCACGTAGCTGTAAGGCTGTCATGTATGCAAAGCACAACCCAGCCAGGGACTAGATGTCTGTGATTGTTTTCTGTTTTTTTCTGGGCTGTGGCTTCATAGACATATGCCATTCTAAAACTACATGCTCTATTTGTAAGGCTGGTTGGACTGTCATA